CTCTCTCTCTCTCTCTCTCTCTCTCTCTCTCTCTCTCTCTCTCTCTCATATTCAGGTTTTAGAGGACCCCCCCATTTTAAAACAAAAGCCGCACACACATGATTTAGAGATATACGTGATGCAGCTCAGCCAATCAAATATGGGTATTCTGATAACCCATATTTCCTGATTCGAGTGACATTTACACACACCGCGACACAAGAGGGAGAGACGAGGAAAGACATGGCAGAGCAGGACAATAGTCATGTAAGCTGTAAATGATAAAACATAGGACAATCTCCAAATGAGAAAGATTGCCAGAGAGATCAGTCTCGCTCTCTCACTCACTCACTCTCTCACTCATCCTCTCTCTCTGTCTCTCTCTGATACAGTCATTCAGGTCTTAGAGATTTTAAGAGGACTCCCCCCCCCCCCCACACACACCCCATTTTAAAGTAAAGGCCCCACAAAATGAATTCTAACTGAAAAGATTGTGATGAAGCCTGTCATTTAATAACCTGTTTATGTTTATCTAACATTATGATTATGTCTCCCCCCCCCCGCCCACACCCCATTTCAAAATAAAAGCCCGAAAGAGTGAATTCTAACTGAAATGCTTGTGATGAAGCCTGTCATTTAATAACCTCTGTTTATGCATGTCAAACATTAAGATTATGTCTCCTCTCCCCCTCACCCAGTCCCACCCTTTCAAAATAAAAGCCTCATGGATTAACTGTATTTAAACGTTAAGCTCAAAATTAGGCTTTTTTGTTGAAATAATGAATGCTCTTACTAATACTACTGCTACTAATATTTCTAGTATCACTACTACTACTACTGCAACTTTTGCTGTTGCTGATACCATCACTATTATTACTACCACTACTGCTATTACTACCACTACTATTATTACTTATACCACAACTGCTACTACTGCTATTCCTGCTACTACTACAGCTATTGGTACGACTGCTACTAGTACTACTACTACTGCAAAAACTGACTTTACTATTACTACTACTACTACTACTACTACTACTACTGTTATATTAAATACTATGACCACTACTACAGCTATTACTAAGCCTACTGATACTACTTCTACTACTTCTTCTTCTAATTACTAATACTTCGACTACAACTTCTACTACTACTACAAATATCACTACTGCTACAACTCGTACTTATTCAAATGCTACTAATACTTTTACTGCTAATAATACTTCTACAACAACTACAACTTCTACAACAAATATCACTACCGCTGAAATTTTTTTAAGCTACAGAAACCGTTCGAATATATCAAAATGTTCAGCTCTTTCAGGAGAGGGGTGATATGACTTCATATTTGTAATCTTTCAACTTTTTGAATTATTAAGCTTTTTGCAATTTAAAAAAAAAAATTGGATATCTATTTTCAGCAATGTTTTTGCGATTCATTTCAGCTTTCAGCATTCCAACGCATTTTCAGCAGGAAATGCATTTTCTAGTTTAAATCAGTTTCTTCCTTTTTACAGCCGTGCTAAGCTAAGCTAACATGCTGCTGTAAACTCTCACCATGAAGCAAATAAGAGCATTTCACAAAACATCCAAACATTCATAAAAAGAGTTAAATGACTCAATGTTGCGTCTTTGAAAGCAACAATAAAATGTTGCTTTCAAAACCGTATCTGTAATAATTAAGCTGCTACGAATGATTATTACCAGTTATTACTGATTAGCGTGTGTATGTGATAAATTGATGAATCTGTTGGTCAATGAAATGCAAAAAAAGCAAAAAAAATTGCCTGTTTTTAAATGCAAAAATATTCAGTTTACAATGATATAAGGAAATACAAGGAAATCCTGAAAGCAGCTTAAGCAATTCGACATTTACGTTGATTCATTTATGTTGATTGACTGATCAATTCACCACTGATTATACTCCAACAATACTACATACAAAGTATATATTATTACCACCTTTCTCTCCCTAACATAAGACCATACAGCAAACCACCACATGGGGGCAGTGTTGGATAGTTAATGTTGCATCCCCCAGGGGTCTAAACAGGAGTGATGTTGTGTACCTTTGTCCATGCTGCTACGGAAGCCCTGAGAGGCAAGTGTGGGAAAAAGAGTTGTTATCTCTCCAGTGTTTAGGACTAATAAACGGGTGAACTGGATGTTTTTAATATAATAGTAATTTTAATTATTTTTTAGTTACCTGCCAAAAAAAAAAAGTAACTGAGAAAGAGTATCCTGGCAAAACATCTGTTTTGAAGAGAAAACAATTAAGATCAGACGTAAAACATGGATCACCAGATAGATGAATCTCCCCTGCCTCTCAGGGCTTCCGTATGCCCAATTAGAAGCTTTTTAACAGAAGTCGAATAGTCTCACAATTAAATTACTTTGAACTACTTTATCGATTCAACGGATCAACTTGATCCAAGCGTCTCCTCACCTCGCTCTCTGCCGTGCCCTGGCTGTCTCCTCGGATGCTGCTGGTGCTGCCGCTGGCGTCCCTGGTGCGCGGCGGCTTCCAGGTCCGCTCCCCGGTGGCTCGGTTGTAGTAGAAATGCCTACCGCTCAGGTCTTTGTGGGTCTCCCAGTCGCCCAGGACGTGGAGAGGGGAGCTGGAGGGTACAGGCGGCAGGCTGGACTGCGAGAGCTTCAGCTCCTGGAGGTTGGTGTAGACCGGCGAGTCGGACCGGCCCTGAACCGTGGGTGATGTTGTCTGGTGGAAGAAAGGAGAGGTGAGGTCAGATCAGATCATCAACAATTCTCTGCAACTCCTCAGGCTTCTAATAAAGATCTGAACTTTAAGTTTTCCCCCTAACTTCTCCAGAGAAGTGTCCTCTACAAATTCAATGACATTGCAAGAATTCCACAACCCAAATCCCTCCAGAAGCCCAACTTCTCTTTCTTAGAGCAGAGAGTTACGAGTCTCTCTCACAGTCTGCACGGCAGGATGCAGCTGCTGATCAAATCACATGCCACATGTGACTCGCAGATATGTTTGTTAAACGCATCGGTCAGATTCTGATCAGGTCCTCTGAACGGGTGGATTGGGCACACTAACAATCATTTATCGGTCTACTCTGAGACCCGACACAAATGATGTGGACATACAAGGCTGCTGGTATTAGCATGGGGCCGCTAACGTATGTAGCACTTCTCAAAACAGAAGTTAAAAAGAAAAGTATAAGAGCGAGACAGAAGAGATGGAGAAGGCAATATGTGAAAAGAAGCACAATTAAGTGTAGAACACATAAGAGAAAATAAAAAGTGATGAAAAGCCAAGGAAAGCAAATGGATTTCAAGACGCTTTTTAAAGATGGCCGCCCGTTTGGCTAATCGGAGACCATGCGGGATTTGTGATCACCTTTGGTTAACGGTTCACATAGACAGAGCTCCATGGGGACTAGTGCTATTTTTAGAACATGCCTTGCGGGCGACTCACATGGACCGTGTTGGCTACCTCTGCTAGAGATCACGGATGTCTTTTATGTCAACTTTTAAATCAATTCTATAAGCGACAAAACAGAGACGCTCAAACTTGAGTGATCTGAACCTAGCTTTTATTAAAAGCCTGCTGCAGAGCTCTGGACCGGCCAGAGCTGAGCTGGAGAAGATGTACTGAGGAAGATGATCAAAGTGTTTGCGGGAATTCAGATAGAAGAAGAAAAAACAGTCCAGCAATACGATCCAGGAAGTCTGTGTGACAGTCTGTAAAGGCCCATCAGATGCTGAAACACTGCACAACACTCTGTAATACTCAGTCAGGGCTTTTCGTGACGATTGCAATATCAATGAGGTAATCTTCCAGAAATGTGCGCTTGTACATGTACAGTATTTGATTGGCCAAAGCAGCGTCTCGCCAAAAGTTGAGCCAGGTTGAACTGTTTGTCCTGATGACACGGTGATGGCCTCACCTGCTCCAAAAGAAAGACATGTCTTTCTTTAACCCGGGGTTCCTGAACGCAGCTTTACAGCCGTTGAGGCTGAAGCAAGAATTCACTATTTGGATAAAGGGGGACTGAGAAGCACTGATTTCACATTTGTGTTGGGAATCACAAATAAATAATGTTCTCGGTGGATAAGGTACAATCCTCTGTAATAAGTAAAGGAAGTGCCTCTGGTTGAAATGTGTCTGACAAGCTGCTGGACACCTGCAGAGAGGAGAGAGGAGAGGAGGCTCAGCACTCCGACAGGATGTGGTGATTTCACAACACGTCTGACTGGACTCGCTAACCGCAGCCGGCAAACTTCATGACCAATGTGGCCCCGCAGTGTCGGAGTGGACGCACTTCAGACACGGTTCAAACAGTGTGTCTCTGGAAACCTGGCAGCATCTGAAGGCCACTACGTTACGTTACCATGGCTACGGCTCAGAGCAGTTAACGTTGTTCTGGAAAAACTAAATGTTTTAGACTGAAGCCAGCGGATAGACGGCCGACCACCAAAGAGTTAATATCAGAGGCCCCCCCAGCACCCCCCCTTCTGTTAGTTACAGGTGAGGAATGTGGGGGGGGGGGGCACTTCAGTCAGAGTCAGAGGATTTTAACAGATGGGACTTCCTGATGTTTTGTTGGGGGGAATAACAGGAATATTTTTCACAGAAATGATCATTTAATATCCTGCACACATTCCGGAGCAGAGCAAAGGCTTCAGCCGCATCCGGCTGTTTTCAGTTAGGTTTCATTCGCTGCGTCTCAGTGTCAGGCCAACGCACGCCGAGTGCTCCAGCAGTGGAGTCACACCGCAGACAGGTGGCGGTTGGGCTGAGCGCGGGGTTTCTAATTGGGTTTTTAGGGAATAATGTTGCAAAGATCGAGCCGAAATGCAGACGATTGAGTGAGGCCTAAAGGTGTGAGGCTGGGACTGAGGGACTCAGAGTTATCTCAACTCTTACGGCTCAATCTCCATAAACCCTCCGTCAAACATTTCCCATAATGCAACACACACACACACAGCACGGCTCTAGGTAAGGCAATGTCAGAGACCCGAACCAAACATGACAGAGGACAGTCAGACCCAGTCTGAAACGACCCCCTCTTTGTGCAGGTTTTGACCTCAAGTGTACCGATACACAGTCCTGCCAACAGTGTCGCACTATTGCACCGTAGGTGGAGGTAAAGTGCCACGAAAGGCTGCAATGTACCAACAATGATAGAAAAGAAGAAAACAATGCAGGTTTTAAATAATGAAAACGTTTTAAGAGGAGGGAAATGCATTCCACATGTTTACATCTCAAGTGTACACACAGAAGACACTGTGAATCACACGGTACCTTTACTTCAGACAAATGTAAAAGGTCAGGTCTCAGCTTAGAGCTCCACAGTGAGGATGGGAAAGAGGGGGAACACTCACCAGTGTTGGAGGATGCTGACCACAATGCAATAAAAAAAGATATGAATTTACAACGTACCGTAATTAACATGACCGTCTTTATGCAAGACCTCCGATACAGACACACAACATGAGTCATGCTTCAACATTTAAAATGGATCCTTTAAAGTTGCTTATTAAGGAACTGTGATGGAGTTGAAACATGTTCAAATGATTTCAGAGACATATTTAAGTGAACCGCTTAGCTGTCAAATGAGAACATCTGTCTGTGACCCGGCAGTCAAGATGACAACAATGGAGCCAAAACCAAGCCCCGCCCACCGACCGGAGGAAAATATTAAACACGAGAAATGTTGAGAGATTCATATTTAATGAGCGCTGCCTAGATTCAAAGTTTCATCAGAATTCAGGAGCAGTGACTGACAGCTGCGTCCTCGGCTCTGATTGGCTGTTTTCCTTGCTTTTCCACCGCTTATCTGTCTCGTGTACTGCTGTCAGGATATAGTGACAGTTTGAGCAAATATGACAAAAAGTGAATTAATAAGTCATAAACTGAAGCTTTAATTATTGAAAAATATGCAGATAAATCAAAATGAGCTTAAAAACATCCATCTATATCTCATGGCTGTCTTTATAAAGACAGGTGACTAACGGCTCCCTTGAATCTAAAAATAGAAGTCAGGACACAATAGGTGCCTTCCTGGCCTGTTCTGTGTTGGACTGAAGCGCCTCATGCAGTGTGCAGCATATGCTGAGAGAGGAGTTCCAACACATGCCTGGAACAGCAGGAGACAGAAGATGATGAACTGAACATCAAGTGTTCTCCTGGCAGAGAGCAGTCAGTGAGCGTGGGCTGCTCTTCAGACAGGCAAACTCATTAACGCTGCCTGGAATTCAATTGAACAGTTTAAACAGAACAGGGCTGGCCACGGCGGAAAGTCCTCAAACTACAAGCGGATACTTTGAGGAACAAACACCATGGAGATGAATTGTTAGGGGACATGAGATCCAATCTGTTGGCAAAGCAGATTCTATATTAAGAATGGACGCAGTGCAAAGACACCGGTCATGATTCAAATATCACCTTCTTTAGACAAACAAAGTCCACATATTTTCATGTCCCCTGTGTCTCTGGGTTCGGGTCCCTATCGGCTGTCACCTTGTGTCCGGGGCCGCTCACAAACACCTCGTCGTCGTCCTCCCCGGCTCTCCTGTAACCTCGGAACGTACTGAACGCACGACGCATGGCGATGCACGGCGACCATCAAGTGTGACGGGAGACACTTCACCTCCCTCCGAGGCACAGAAGCTCCATTTTTCTCTTCTTCTTCCCTCTCCCACCGTCCTCCTGCTGTGTCAACGGTCCGGTTGTGAAGGTAGGAGGGGAACTTGAGACCGACTGTGTGACAAGAGGCGAGAGGGGGGAACCGGATCCGTCTGCCTCACAAAACACGGAGTGCAGCGCACAAACTCATCTGACACAACAGGAAACGGTGTTGAACAAGTCAGAGCTTCCTCTATCAGAAGCGTGCTTCTGTGTGTTGGAGTCAAACCGGGGCACCGGCAGACAGTGCTGACCGACACACTGGCAGTTCAGACAGTCCTCGAAGGGATCACTGAGCATCTCTCACCTGAACAGATGAGTGCGAGGGAGAGGATCGATTGTGTAACAGGGTATCGGCAAAGTCGTTGCCTAGTTTGAGCAGCAGCGGTGGGGAAGTAGACGGCAAGAGGAAGGAAGACAGAGAGGGATGTGGCAAGGAAGTGAGATAAGGAAGTGATGAGCTATATATTAGTACGCTGGTGTCTGTTATCAGCGTCAACACGTCCCTCAACATGTCTGCAATACATTTTGTAATGCAGCTCTTTCAACAATACAGCGCTTGATTTACTCGTCTTTAAAACACACGTTTTGAACGACAAATCGGATCTTTGTATTTAGAAAAATAATTTTGAATGCTATATTTTTAGGCTTTTATCTTTGAACATACCGATACTGTCAGGTTGCAGACAGTATCGGTATGAGGCATTTCTGCATTAGCGCCTTCTTGATACTGACTTTCTGAGATCTGAGATATATATATATATATATCTCAGAAAGTCAGTATCAAGAAGGCGCTAATGCAGAAATGCCTCATACCGATACTGTCTAATCATAGCTATAAGCACCCATAAACATTCATAATGCTTTATGATAATAATCATAACACATTATAAAACATTCTGAGGTCAAGTATCATAACACTTCATAGTGGATAATGAGTTGAAGGGCATATAATGAGTTGAAGGGCATATATATACATATATATATACACATATATATATATATACA